CATACACTCATACACTCATGCACACACGAACCACAACCTCTCCACAACCTCTCCGCACTCTGTGCACCAACATCTTGCCCACACTTGCTCACCATCTTGCTTCCCTCCATCCACCACTTCCCACCCTCACCCCCTCCCCGCCGCGTCCTCTGTGCACTGCAGGAGGTGGAGGAGCGGATTGCGGCGATTAAGCAGCAGATGGAGGAGGAAAAACGCGTCCACGCCGAGCTCGAGACGTTTCTCAAGCGCTCCCACGCTAAACTCGCAGCACAGGTGTGTTGTGTTGTGTGTTGTTGTGTTTTGTTCTGTGTTGCTCTGTGTTGCTCTGTGTTGGTGTGTGGTGTTGTGTGTTGATGTGTGTTGTTGTGTGTTGCTCTGTGTTGGTGTGTGGTGTTGTGTGTTGTTGTGTTTTGTTGTGTTTTGCTGTGTGTTGCTGTGTGTTGCTGTGTTTTGTTTTGTTCTCTGTTGTTGTGTGTTGTTTGTTTGTGTTGTTGTCGTGGTCTCTGTGCTGTGTTCATGGACACGATTGTGCACGTTATGTGCGACTCCACCCCCTCCCCTCTTTTCGCTCACACGTTGCCACTGCTGGTACAGCTGGACGAGTGGAGCGAGAAGTTTGACCAGGACAACGAGGCGAAGCAGCAGGAGCTGGAGAAGCTGCGCGATAAGCGCGCACAGGATCTGGCAAAGCTGCAAGACCTTACAGAGACATACAACGAATACGACCGTGTCATCGCGCAGGATCGCAAGAAGAAGCTCAAGCTCCAGGAAGACGCCCAGCGGTGAGTCGGCGTGCTGCTGTGCTTGGTTTGAATCGCCTTGCAGGCAGCGGTTGCATGGCATCCAATCGGGGGCGGGGGCGGGACAGGTACAGGTTGTGGCGACCATTTCGCTCACCACTCACACCAACACCTACACACATGCACACACTCATACAAACACATGACATATACACACACATACAAACACATGGCATGTACACACGCAACATACACATGGCAACAGGTCTGTGCGGGAGCTTGCTGCTGCAATTCGACTGCAGGCGTGGTGGCGCGGTATTCTCGTGCGCCACAAGCTCGGCCCACACAAGGACAAGAAGGCGAAGAAAGGGAAGAAGAGCGGAAAGAAGAAGAAGAAGAAGTAGCTGGCCTGCGCGCGCGTGTTGTTGGTGATGTTGGTGATGTTGGTGATGTTGACACATATCTCTGCTTGTGTTGCAAGTGTTGTTTCGTGTCATCATGAACGTTGTAACTGGCGACAACGGAGCAAAAAGTCCAAAGCGTACAGTGCGTGTGTGAGTGTGTGGTTGTGTGTGTGCGCGCGTGAATGTGTGCGTGCGTGCGTGAATGTGTGTGTGTGTGTAAATGTGCAGCACTTCACAGACACAGACGCACACGCACAGACACAGACACACACACACACACACACACACACACACACACACACACACACACACACACACACACACACACACACACACACACACACACACACACACACACACACACACACAAACCGGCATATGACTATTCTGTGCAATTCACTCGCCGGGCGATTTTCAAACAGAATGGTGGATATGCGCATGTATGTTTCGCACACAATTTCCTCTGGACCGTTACAAGCAACAAGGGATACACAACAACAGCAACGGCGCACTGGCTGCTGCGGAACGCTGCACACACACACACAGATACACACAGACACACGACAGATACGACCACGACCACTGCGTGCACTGCGCCAGTTCTTGTTGTTGGCTGCTGAAGAGCATCATCAGCCCAGCCAAGCAAGCAAGACTGCGAGGCAAGGCACCACCACCCCCACCACCACAAGACCATCACACATCAGCTCTCGACAAGACACGACATCAATCTCGTAGCACACACACATACGCACACACAGCAGCGATATGAACCCGCATCAGACCCAGCACCACACCAGCTTCGCTGGGCGGATGATGCGCGAGACACAGCCACACCAGTACCATGAACCACAGTGGCACTACGCTCGGGAGCACCAACAGCAACATCCACAACAGCAGCAGCAGCAGCAGCAGCAGCAGCGCCAGCACCACCACGACGCATTTCAAGGGCAGCCCGCCAACGCAACGGCATACGGATATCAACCCCTGTACCTGATCCCAGGCCATCACCAGCGTGAGCCACACTCACACAATGCCCAAGGCGGCGCAAACATGCGTCATCAAGGACCTCCTCCTTCTCGACAACAGGCAGCCCCGTATGCCCACCAACACCAACACCAACACCACCATCACCACCAGCCAACGCAGCAGCGACTGGAGCATCGCTTCCAGCTCCAGCCTCCACAGCAACAGCACACTCATGATGCGCGTCACCAACGCCAGCAAGCGCATTCGCAACCGCAGCAGGCGTACTCGCAATCGGTTCAAGCGCCGCACTTTGCATCTCACCCTTCATCCCACAATCCAATGCCGCCTCTGCATGGCCTCGTGGATCCTGCGACAGGCGGGCAGGCCATGCCCATGTATGTCCCGCCACCAACTTGGCACCACCAGCACCAGCAAGGCAGTTTCCGTGATGGTGGTGGTGGTGGTGGTGGTGGGAGCTTCAGCTTCAACAGCCACAGCCACAGCCACAACCACAACCACAACGACGCCGCCACCACCAACAACTCCAACAACAACGCGGCAAGCATTCATGGATCGACTCGAGCTGCGCCTGCTGTCTCCATGCACAGCTGGCGCCTGCGGGGGCAGAACAAGAAGAGCATGTCGCGGACAGTTGATTGGGACTCTGCGCACACCACCGTGCAGCGTGTGTGCACCGTTGATGGGCCAGCAGTTCCTGCCTCCCCAGCGCCTGTCGCAACCTCCGACGCGCAGCGACCCGACCAGATGAAGCTGGAGTTGGCCGTGGAGGAGGAGCAGGCGTACAAGAAGGCGTATGCCAAGGCCACCAACGCCGCACCGTACCCACCAACCGTGAACCCTTTGCTGCACTGTCGTGGCATTGCGGCCATTCGCCTCCTTGCCTCCCACTTCAGCAAGGACGCCATCACGCGCGACTCTGCCTTCTTCCTCTTCCAGCGCGCCCTCACTTTGGAGCGCGTGCAGCTCTCTTGCCCCCTCGTCACTGCCATGGCCGCCTTTATGCTCGCTTGTGAGTTCAACGACTGGTGGTGCGGGGGAGTTGTGGTGGTAGTGTTTTTGTTTTGTGTTGTTGGTTTCTTGTGGTGTGTGCTCGCTTTGCTCGTGTCACTTCGCACTAGCACTTGCTCCTCCCTCACGGTGTGCACCCCCCTCCTCCCCCAACTTGATGTCTCCACCTTCCATCCTCCAGGCAAGACGCGCGAGCAAGAGATTAACGTTGAGCCGTGCGATTGGATGATTGCGGCGCTTGGCGCAGCAGATGTCACCAAGCAGGATATCGTGAGCATGGAACTGCACCTTCTCCTCAGCTTTGAATGGCACATTCACCCGTTTGTTCCTTCTGAGCTCCTCTACCCAATGCTCGTCAAGACCCTCAGCGTCGCAGGTGTGTGTGTGTGTGTGTGTGTGTGTGTTGTCGTCGTCGTCGTCGACAAGAGATGGGATGTGCACACTGCGGGTCCTGTCGACAAAACGCTCTCTCTTCCTTGGATTGCTGCTTTGCCTTGATGTCTCTAGCAACTCCCCAGCCACGCTGGTACTCTTTCCACTCACCTTTTTCACCCCCACCTTGCACACACACTCTCACTCACTCACTCACACACACACACACACACTCACTCACTCACACACTCACACACACACACACTCACTCACTCACACACACACACACACTCACTCACTCACTCACTCACTCACACACACGCCCAGAATACACGCTGCTGCAAGTGCGGCACCCGACTGTGGACACGGTTGCCATGCTGCTTCGGCTGGCCGACGCGTGCGTCTCGCACTTCTTCACCGGCATGTACGAGCAAGAGCAGTCGCACACGAGCATGCGCAGCATCGCCATCCTGGCCATGGTGTGTGCGCGGGCGTGCCTTGGGCTTGGCGAGCAGGGCTGGTCCGCCACACTCCGCGCATGGGCTGAAGAGGAGGAGCAGCACAACCGCGCACCAAGGCCAAGCTTTGACGCGCACGTTGCACGCGTCACAGAGTGAGTACCGGGACTTGAGCGTGCGTGTGTGTGTGTGTGTGTGTGTGTGTGTGTGTGTCCATGACCCAAGCGTTCCTGTGGTTGCTCCGGCTGTGTGTGTTTGTTCGAATTAATCACTCAATCGCTCCTCCCACTCGCTCTTCCCACTGTGCCTGCATGTTGACAGGCTGTTTAAGGATGTGGGTGGCGATGTGCGTGTTGGTCTGGAGGCAAAACCATCCGCCAACGACGACAGCGGCATCATGAGCGCGCCGCACACGCCTATGCCCTTGCAAGGGGCGCGTAAAGAGCCCAACAGCAGCAGCAGCAATGCACAGTCACAACCGCATGCGCATTTCCGGGCGATGCGTGGGTCTCCGCTGCTTCCGATGCAGTCTTCCCAGCGCACACACGACAGCAGCAGCCAAGACGACGATGCCGATGATGATAGTGATGAGAATACAACGGCAGGAGTGATGCTGACACGACGAGAGAGCATGGAGCCATTGAGGCCGCGGCACGGTTATCACAGACAGCCTATTGCGTTTGACAGTGACGAGGATGATGATGGTGATGGTGGTGTTGATGACGACGAGAAGGAGAACGGGGTTGCATGTGCGGGTCGACATTGGGCAGCAAGAGCGCCGCTGTTTGCGCTCACTGCAGCGCGGCCCTCATATGATGATGATGATGATGATGATGATGATGATGATGATGATGATGATGATGATGATGGCACGGAGCAGCACCGGCGTGCATTCGGGCTCGGGAGCTCACGGCAGGGTGCAGTGGTGATGGCGGCCCCTCGCCAGCCGCTGCAGCCCATCGACCTTGATCACGGCTGGGACGACGACGATGATGATCACGACGACGAGAACTTTGTGGTGCACAGCATACAGATGGATGCTGGTGTCGGTGAGCCTGCGCGTGGCAGTGTACCCGCATCGCAATCGCATGCTGGCAGTGCTGGCCGTGGCTTGGTGTGGAGCCCTGGCAACACGTTGGCCATGGGCGTGCGTGGCCTCTCCACGCAATCGCCATCGTGTCCGCTCAGGACTGACACGATGCCGTGGCCTGGCACAGGCATCACGCCCCGTGATGGTGGCGACGATGACACCTACGACAGCGATACGCATCCCCATGAACTGCAACCTCGTCATAGCCACAGTCACAGCCACCACCACCACCACCACCACCAGAGCAGCATTGATGAGGACGCGGCGGTGGCTGTTCGTGCGCGCCCTTCGCGACAGAACTCGCAACGCCACCGACGACGACGGCGGCGGGCCACCACGGCGCCCCGGTCGGCAGCCAGGAAATGAGATGGAGCAAGCACGCACGTGCAGCTGCAGGAGGGAGCAGCAAGAAATCTGATGGCTTGCATGTGTATGTGAGTGTATGTATGTATGTATCTTAATGAAGGAGAGCCGTGCATTGAAGCTGCTGGTCAGCGTTGGTTGGTTTTGTTTTTGTTTGGTTTTTCTTGCTTGCTTGTGTTCGCCCGCTCTGGTTGCAACGTAATGTAACGATATCATGACTGTGACTTTCACGCCCTTTTGGTGAAGGTGAAAACGGTTGGTATTGAGGGTGGTGACAGAATGTGTAATGAATGATGAAGCACCAAACACATCATGGTGTGGTTATTGTCACTTGCAAATGGTCGAGAACAGTGCATGAGGGTTGGAAAACATGCAGGTGTTGGTGAGAGGGTTGCTGTGGAAGGTGTCACATCACATGGTCACTGTCAGAGTGCACGACACACAAAAAAAAACACACAAGAAGCAAGCACACCACAACAACAACAAGACGGGCACTCCTTTGTGCATCGAATCAAATTTTTGTTGGCCCACGAACAGCCGCCAAAAGAAGAGAAAAGGGACAGACAAGCACGAGAGCAGCAGCAGCAGCAGCAGCAGCAGCAGCAGCAGCATAAGAGAAAGAGAGACAAGCAGACAGAGACGACAGGGGAAGAGACAAGAGGCAGCGTGAAGGGCACGATCAGGTGCAGTCGGCGAGGGTGACAGTCGGCAAATCCAGAGTCCAAGTAGAAACGAAGAAACGAGGAACCAATGTGCATGCGTGGTGTGTCTGTGAGTAAGTGTGGGTGCAAGCATGTGCATGTGCATGTGCATGTGTGTGTGTGTGTGTGTGTGTGATCATTTGAGTGAGAGGAGTTGGTGTTGTTGCAAGGTAGCAAGGTGCTTACCTTCCTCGCCGAGGCGAGGATGGCTCGTTGGTTGGGACGCCAAAAATGGCACCATACCAACTCACCAAAACAAAAAAAGGAGGGGAAAAAAGTGAGTGTCAGCCGTCCACTTCCGGGACTGACTGGTACCTAAGAGAGAGAAAAAAGTGTGAGGGTGTGGGGGGCTTAGTACATGTGCATGTGACCGAATGTACATGTGTGTGGTGGGGGTTGTGTGCGTGTGTCTTACCTTAATCAGTGCTGAAAGCACTTTTGGGAGGCCCGCGATGTGTTGCCACCACCACCACAGCGGTGGTGGTGGTGTGTGTGTATGTGTGTGTGTCTGGGGTGGTGTTGGTGTTGGTGGTGAGGGAGAAATGACAACGGCCCTCTTTTCTCCGAGAAGAGCAAACACAACAGGCTCATCTAAGCAGATCAAATAAAGACAAACAAATAAACTAATATAACCACCCTGTTGAAGAGGCGGGCCATGCTAACCACGGATTGGCACCGGATCTGATGTGTAGTAGAGAAAGAGGTGTGTTGTTGTTGGCCAGACCACAATGACTTCTTCGTTGTCGTTCGAGGTGGAATAGGAGCATCAAAACAATCTCTGCGATATATCCAACTAGCCGGGGTGTACCAGAAATGTTCATGTCTGCGAGGGTCGGTGCATCCATGACTTATCAGTTGATCAATCTATTAATATCTGATGCGCCAATAGGAGAAGAGGTGAAATGTCCGTGGTCATGCAATGTTTGGACGTTCTCTCATACTGGTTAATTCAACCGGCATCGACCAGATAGGTATTTT